TTATTTAGCCATTCTGACAGGAGTGAGATGGTATGTCTGAGTTGTTTTGATCTGCATTTTCCTGATAACTAAGGATGTTGGGCACTTTCTCAAGTGTCTCTCAGCCATTTTAGATTCCTCTATTGAGAATTCTCTATTTAGTTCATTGCCCCACTTTTTAATTGGATCCTTTGGTGTTTTGGATACTTGCTTTTTGAGCTCTTTGTAAATCTTGGAGATCAGCCCTCTGTCAGACATGAGGTTAGTAACTATCTTTTCCCTTTCTGTGGGCTGCCTTTTTGTCTTGTTGACTGTGTCTTTGCGTTACAGAAGCCTCTCAGTTTCAGGTGGTCCCATTTATTAATTATTGATCTCAGTGTCTGTGCTACTGGTGTTATGTTCAGGAAGAGGTCTCCTGTACCAATTCGTTCAAGGGTACCTCTCACTGTTCCTGTTATCCCTGATCTCTCCAAGACCTTCATCATGATGGGTTGTTGGCATTTGTCAAAGGCTTTTTCTGCATCCAGGGAGATATTCATCTGCTTTTTCTTTTTTAGATTGTTTATATGATGGAATACATTGATAGATTTTCTTATGTTGAATCATTCCTGCATTGCTGGAATGAATACTACTTGATCATGGTGTATGAATTTTCTAATGTGTTCTTGGATTTGATTTTCGAGTATTTTTTTTGAGTATTTTTGCATCAATGTTTATGAGGGGGATTGGTCTGTAGTTCCCTATCTTGGTTGTGTATTTGTGTGGTTTGGGTACTAATGTGATTGTAGCTTTGCAAAAAGTGTTTGTCAATGATCCTTCTGATTCTGTTGTGTGGAACAATTTGAAGATTATTGGTATTAGCTCTTCTTTGAATTTCTGGTAGAATTCTGCACGGAAACCATCTAGCCCTGGACTGTTTTTTTACTTAGGAGAATTTTGGTATCTGCTTCTATTTCTTTAGGCATTATTGGTCTAGTTGTTTATCTGTTGTTGATTTAATTTTTAAGTGATATCTATCCAGAAAATTGTACATTTTCTATAAATTTTTCAATTTTGTGGAGTACAGGTTTTCAAAGTATGGCCTGATGATTCTTTGGGTTTACCCAGTGTCTGTTGTTATGTCCACTTTTTCATTTCTGATTTTGTTAATTTGCATGGTCTCTCTCTGCCTTTTGATTAGGATGGATAAAGGTATGTCTATCTTGTTGATTTTCTCAAAGAACCATCTCTTTGTTTCAGTGATTGCATTGTTTTATTTTTTCTACTTTATTGATTTCAACTCCCAATTTGATTATTTACTGGAGTCTCTTCTTTCTGTGTCAGTTTACTTCCTAACCTAGAGCTTTCAGGTGTTCTGTTAATTCTCTCATGTGGCTACTCTCCAGTTTCTTTATATGGGCACTTACTGGTATGAACTTTCCTCTTAGACTGCTTTTAGTGTGTCCCAAAGGTTTGGGTATGTTGGGCCTTCATTTTCATTGAATTCTAGGAAATCTTTGATTTCTTTCTTTTGTCTTTACCCAGAAGTGATGCAATTTAGCATTGTTCAATTTCCATGTGTTTATGGGGTTTCTGCAAATTGTGCTGTTGTTGAATTCTAATTTTAAGCCATGGTCGTCTGATAAGTTACAGGGGGTTATTCCTTTTGTTTGTATCTGTTGATGTTTGCATTATTGCCAAATATGTGGTCGATTTTAGAGAAGATTCCATGTGGTGCTGAGAAGAAGGTATATTCTTTTTTGTTTGTATGGAATATTAATAGATGCCTGATAAGCCCAATTAGGTCATAACTTCTGTTATTTCCTTTGTTTCTTTGTTAAGTATCTGTCTGGTGCTCCTGTTCAGTGGTGAGAGAGGGGTGTTGAAGTCTCCCACTATACGTGTGTGGGGTTTAATGTGTGATTTGAGTTCTATTAGTGTTTCTTTTACAAATGTGGGTGCCTTTGTATTTGGGGCATAGATGTTTAGAATTGAGACTTCATCCTGATGGATTTTTCCTGTGATGAATATGAGATGATCATTTTCATCTCTTTGATTAACTTTGGTTTGATGTCTGATTTGTTAGATACTAGCGTAGTTATACTAGGTTACTTCTTAGGTCCATTTAATTGGAAAATCTTTTCCCAACCCTTAAACCTGAGGTATCATTTGTCTTTGAAGCTGAGGTGTGTTTCTTGTATGCAGCAGAAGGATGGATTCTGTCTTCCAATCTATTCTGTTAGCCTGTGTGTTTTATGGGTGAGTTAAGACCATTAATATTGAGGGATATTAATGACAATTGGTTGCTCAGTTTTGTTTGTTTTGGAATGGTTGTTATTGTTGTAATTGTATGTGGATTTCTACTTCTTTTTTCTTTAGACTGTTGGTAAAGTAGGATTATCTATGGCCTATGTTTTTCTGGTTGTAGTTAACTTTTTTGGGTTGGAGTTTTCCTTCTAGAACTTTCTGTAGAGCTGAATTTGTGGATATTTATTGTGTAAATCTGGTTTTGTCAAGGAAACATCTTGTTTTCTTTATTTATTGTGATTGAGAGTTTCACTGGGTATAGTAATATGGGATGGAGTCTTTGGTCTCTTATTGTTTGTAGAACATCTATCCAGGACCTTCTGCCTTTCAGAGTTTCCATGTAGAAGTTAGATGCAATTCTGATACTTTTGCTTTTATATATTACTTGGCCCTTTCCCTTTGCTCCACTGAGTAATCTTTGTATGTTTTGTGTTTTGATTATTATGTGGCAAAGGGACATTTATTTTTGGTCCTGTCTATTTGGCAGCAAATAAGCTCCCTGTAAATTCATAGGCATGTCCTTCTTTACGTTGGAAAAGTTTTTTTTCTACAATTTTGTTGAATATATTTTCTGTACCTTTGAGTTGTGCTTGTTGCCTTCATCTATACCTGTTATTCTTAAATTTGGCCTTTTCACGGTGTTAAATATTTCTTGGATTTTTTGTGTTAAGTATTTGTTGGATTATAGATTATGTTTGGTCAATGAATCTATTTCCTCTAATTTAGCTTCAGCGCCTGAGATTCTGTCTTCAGTCTCTTGTATTTTGCTGGTTATGCTTACATCTGTAGTTCATGATCATTTACTCAGCTTTTCTATTTCCAGCATTCCCTAAGTTTGTGTTTCCTTTATTGCCTCTATTTCCGGTTTTGGGTCTTGAAGTGTTTGAATTGTTTCCTTCTTCTGTTTGATTGTTTTTTCTTGGCTTTCTTTTAGAGATTTGTTGATTTCTTGCATGTTTTTGTTTTTCTTCTTGTCTTTCTTTAATGGATTTCCTCATATCTTCTTTGAGGGCCTCTGTCGTTTTCATGAGATTGTTTTGAAGGTCATTCTTTTCTCTTTCATCTGTGTTGGAATGTTCAAGGGTTGGTGGTGTAGTCTCTAGACTCTGGTGGTATCATATTGGTTTTTCTGTTGTTAACTTTGTTTTTATATTGCTGTCTTCCCATCCCTTCTTTCAGTGGGAGCTGGTGGGGTCTCTACTTCTCCTGGTGGGTATGGGTCTAAGGTTCTCTTCCGGGTACTTTCAAGCAGGTCCAATCTAGGTGCAGGGTAGGCTCAGGAAGACAGAAGCAGGAGGATGTTGGGAGTTTGGGCCCAGAGCAGAACCCCCATTCACCACAAGCACAGGGCAGGGGATGGAGAGTACCTGAAGACTCACTTTAACATTTTATACCTGAAAAGTATTGTATAAAATTATATACTAATTAAAAATAAAAGGGAAGTGCATTTTGCTAAAATGCAAATTTAATTTTCAATAATATTCTAAGATTAATACTAACATATTAACACATTAATAACTTTAGATATCAAATACTACAAGGAACTTTGGAATCAGTACATTAATGACAAATATTTTTGAGAGATTGTCTGCATGCATAGATTAGACTGGCCTAGAACAAGTCACATACCTCAGGCTGGCCTCAGCCTCAGGATATTCCTATCTCTGTTCTTCTAGTTTTGGGATTACAAATGTGAATCTTGACTCATTGCCATATTTTATTTATCTATTCATTTATTTTTCTGTTTCTTGTACATTATACATAATACTGTGTTTCTAATTTACTTCTTCTACATACTTTCAGAGATAAGTAAACTGAAGTCCAGGCAGGTTCTGTGATTTTCCAGATTGCTATTGGTTTTCATTCATACTCAAACATATTTTTCTTTATATGACAACCATCTCTGATGTTGAGATCTATTGTTCTCTGTAAAACTGTTAGTTGATTAGGGATGTTTGTGCCCCCTCTGGGACGGTCTTTTCCTGCTTAGTATGTCAGCAAGATCATCTTAACGTAGTTTCAATACTGCTAATTTCTATATTACTTTAGAATATGCATTTCTGGATTAAACACTTTTTCACAGTTTTGGTCTACATACATAACTTCTTGAAGAAATCTTGTTTTTCATTCCCTCAATTTAAAGCCTTCTTTCTGTTTCCTGGAGTTGTAATGAGTATGTATACTTGTCAGGTTCTGTTATGTTTACCTTTGCATTAAGATTAAAGTTCCTGTGACCTCAGGTTTAAATTAATGCCCCCAGAGTCCCCAAATAGTGAATATGGGTTTTTCCTTGCATCTGTATTCCATGTTTGGCCCAGAATCTGCAGCCCAATTATCTGAGGCACTGTTCATTTTCCTTAGTATTAAGAGTGGGTTTGGAGATGGGAGATAATGAGAAAAATTTTCATGAATTCTCTCATTTTTTGGCATTCCTCTTTTCTTCTGTACATCCTACCTTTTTGTTGCACTTTTTAAAAACTCTACATTACCTAATTTGTTGTAGTAATTTGGTTGAACATGTTTCTCTAGCACTGTCATTGTTTCTGCAAAGGTCACCTGATTTAAATATGTCTTGTATGTTAACCAAAGGTTATATTAGAGAATCTAGTAGATATCTGTTGCCTAGTTGGAAGACAACATCCTCCAGTGATACCTCATGCTTTCTGTGATGGTACATTTGCCTGATGATTAACACCAGCCACTCTCACACTTACTGCCCAGGCACCACCTTTTGTATTTGCTGACTGCTTTGCATGTGCCCCTCCAACCAAGCCCAGCCTCTTGCAGTTTATAAGTCGGGCCTGGATAGTGAGACCTGAGCATCATCAGACAGACAGGGGAGCAATATGGAGTCACACACCCAGGTCCTCATGTCTCTTCTGCTCTGGATATCTGGTGAGAAAAGTATTAGAATGTTTTTCAGAGTCACTTCTTTGTATATAAGAAATATACAATGTGTTCCAGGGTGTAATATTTTTTATGCCTTAGTACTTTGACAACATGGCACTACAAGGACATTAAATGACAAATTTATATGTATTAAATTCTTTTTTAAAATTATACATGATTATTGGTTTTCCTGACTGCAGGTGCCTGTGCAGATATCGTGATGACCCAGTCTCCATCCTCTTTGGCTGTGTCACCAGGAGAGAAGGTCACCATCAGCTGCAAGTCCAGTCAGAGTCTTTTATCCAGTGGAAATCAGAAGAACTACTTGGCCTGGTACCAGCAGAAAGCAGGGCAGTCTCCTAAACTGCTGATCTACTGGGCATCCACTCGGCACACTGGGGTCCCTGATCGCTTCATAGGCAGTGGGTCTGGGACAGATTTCACTCTCAGCATCAGCAGTGTCCAGGCTGAAGACATGGGAGATTACTTCTGTCAGCAATATTATAGTAATCCTCCCACAGTGCTTCAGCCACTATCAAAAACCTCCCCTGAGAGTCTCAGCGGTTACTTGTACCACACACAGCCCTGGGCCTGCACACTTCCTTCTTCTGCCTGAGAGTATGGACTCTCATGAAACACTCATGAAAATGTTTGCAGAGCCCAGATAAAATAATGGGTTCAATGTCTCTTATGTCTTTTGTTATGAAACACTTTTATACAAAAGTGCAAAAAGAACTCAGTATTATCCTTCTAATCCTTCTGTAACACATTACGGCAAACCATTGCTTGAATATGAGGAATTTATCTTTCTATAGTTCTGGACTCTGGTGTCTCACAGAAGCCACTGTGGTATAAAGTGATGTTGATGGCCAATTGTATTTCCATTTGGAAGCTCTAGGAAAATGTGTTTCCTGCTTTTTCTAGACCCTGGGTTGTTTTCTTAATTACCGGTGACCATTTTCTCAGATTTTTCTTTTACTTTTCATTATTTTTTCAATTTTTATTACACTTTAGATAGTTACACCTCCATCTTTGTGTAACTGTTTGCATCTTTCTAAGAACACATGTGATGCTTCATGTTTTAGGAGTTTGGGGTATTTTAAGTTGTTTGTCAGGGCCAAGAGAAATGGCTCTGTTCCATCTTGACATACAGTCAGAGAGTGTGAGCCTATTGTTGATCCTTCAAGGTTGAACCACAGAATGGTTATTTTGTGTCTTGCCTTAACATCAGGATATCTGGACTAACTTGTAGCTAATGAATCTCTCACCTTGAAAACATGATATTTGGTTTAGGGTGTGGTTACTTGATACTTTGGGTATTGAAAAGGTATATACACTTACTTGTTTCTTGTATCTTGGTAATGGAGTCTTTTGCTTTCCCCTATTGTTTGAGGTTTATAAGAGCTTGAGTCATAATCTTGGGACTGATCCTGATATTTATTGTGTGCCGTCCTGACTGTATCTCTTGTCTCTTGCAAATTTCTTCCCACAATCCACATGCCTCCTTCCAAGAAGGGACCAAACTAACCAGCAGGGATGGACAGATGGCCCCTCAGTGTGTACCCACACAGATGCCCCTGCAAAGCAGGGTTCCTGCAGCTGGCACCCCAGATGCTGGGGCTTGGACATAGAGAGTGAAGTGATGGACACCGGTATTTGAGAAAAGATGAAATGTGAGTGCTTAGAGATATATGAACTGTGGTCAGAAAACTCTGAAATAAAAATTGCATGTAACTGAAGAAACGGGAAAAATAATAGTCAGGGTTTCTCTGTGTTGCTTTTGAGGCTGTTCTGGAACTCACTCTGTAGACCAGGCTGGCCTTCAACTCACAGAGATCTGCTTACCTTTGCCTCCCCGGTGTTGTTATTAAAGGCATGCGCCACCAATGCCTAGTGTATTTGGGTATGTTTTGAGTCCATAGGATCTTGTGTAACGCTGTGGCAAGTACAGAAATTTTCAGAATTTTTTGATTTTGTAAATCTTTCTTCCCCAAACTGGAGCCATCTCTGGGCTGTACTGGGAATCAGGAAATTGAAGTTGTGGTCTCCCCCTGACCCTCTCACTATGCCTGCCCAGCTGTTGCTCAAACCTGGACCTTGTGCCTGCCCTAAGTACTTGGGTGGCACCTTACCTGCTGCTCTGGCTGTGTCTGGCCCATGCTACCACCATAACTCAGAGCCAGGAGCAGAGGAGACTGGAAAGTTTGGTGGGTTGCCCCTCCCATGACTGCTATTTGAATCCATTCAGTGCGGAGTGTCAGGAGGCAGCATGGCCCTTGATCCCAGGGCATCTGTATGGGTGGTTCAATATCCTTTAGCAGAGGAGAGGGTGCAGGGTGCCCAACAGTTAGTATAGGGACAGCTGGGTAATGTTCATATCATGGCTTCTAGTTCCCCCTGGAATTCTTGTTTTTTCATGGTTGGGGAGAGGTCTGGAGAATGGAGATTAATGCAGGATTTGGCAGAGGTAATGAGACCATTAGCTGCCATTCCACTCAGCCCTGCCCAGCCAGGTATCTGTGAAAATGATAATGCTGCCTCTCATCTAATGGGAGCTTTACAAGCTGAATTAGAAAAGATAGCTTACAAATTTTTAATGATTTTTCAAAAATTATTGGGAGATATTCAGTCGCTACCACCCTATTAAAAATTGTGTACTGGGAATCTTGAGTCCCTTAGTGAAATTCTTAAGGGCAATTGTGTTGCTAGTTCCACTAGACAATTCACAGAACCTGTAAACAAGTGATAGTTCAAATGGAGAATACAATTAAAGTGCTCATGAAGATTTGAAAACCCAACTTCAAAAAAAAATAAGGAGGAATTATACCCTCAGTCTGTGTTGTAAAGGACCCAATCATGTTTAATGTGGATCAAGGGCAGGTTTTTGGTTTTTTCCCACAGGAAAAAAATGAAGCTTGGTGCAGTGTGTAGAGCAGACGGATGCCAGACCTGATGACATCATTACTGCTGAGGCCTTCCCAGATGAGTTCTAGTGTGATCTGATGAACCGATATTCCTGATCCTCTGATGTCATCATTCTGCAGTCCTATAAAAGGAAGGAGATGTTTATGATGACAGCTAATTATTCATGCTTCCTTTTTTCTTTAACTTTTTATACATGCTACACTCAGGTTCCTTTCTGTCCTCTCCTCCCCTGCCCTCCCCATTCCTCCCAACCCCCATCCCACCCCATCTCCCTTCAGCTCCCCAGGGAGGGTAAGGCCTTCCATGAGGGATTTTCAGAGTCTGATATATAATCCCAGGCAGGGCCTAGGTCCTTCTGCATGTGTACAGGCTAAGAGAGCATCCCTCCATATAGAATGGGATTCCAGAGTCCATATTTATGCCAGGAATAAATAGTGATTTACTCTCTAAGGTCCCATAAATTGTGAGGCCTATTCTCTGACACCCAGTTTGGTTTTTTTGTGTGTCTGGATCAGTCCCAGCCTAGTCTCTCATTCATCATTCTGGGGTCCATGAGTTCCCCCTTGTGTAGATCAACTGCCTCTCTGGGTTTCATCAGTGTGGTCTTGATTCCTTTGCTCATCACTCCTCTTTGCAACTGGGTTCCAGGAGTTCAGTTTGATTTTTAGCTGTGGGTGTTTGCCTCTGCTTCTGTCAGCCACTCGATGAGGTTTCTAGGATGGCATATAAAATAGTTGTCAATCTCATTATCAGGGGAGGGCATTTAAGGTAGCCTTAATGTCTGTTGGTGTCATTTTGTAGATGTGTGAAGATCTCACTAGTGCCAGATCTCTCCTCCAACTTATAATGGCTCCTCTATTATGGAATTTCTCATCCTTCTCTCCTCTACTCTTGCCCTGGCTCAACCTTCCTGCTCTCCCATGTCCTCCTTTCTCCTCTTCTCCCCATATCTTTCTCCCAAATTACTCTCCCCTACCCTCCTCCCTCCTCCTAATCCAATTAGGAATTCTCCTCCCATAACACCTTCTCCAGGTTACCATCTATATCTCCCTTAGGGTCCTCCCTGCTTCCCAGACTCTCTGGTGGTGGGACTGAAGGCTGGCAATCCACTGCTCCATGTCTAAAATCCATATATGAGTGAGTATATACCATGATTTTCTTTTTGTGACTGGGTTACCTCATTCAGGATGGTTTCTTTGAGTGCCATTTGTTTTCCTGCAAGTTTCAAGCTTCCAGATTCTGACTATTGCAAATAATGCTGCCACACACTTATTGTATGAGTGTACATCTTTTGGCTTTATGCCTAAGAGTGGAATTGCTGGATATTGTGGTAGGCTAATTTCCATTTTCCTGAGGTATCTCCATACTGATTTCCGCAATGGCTACACAAGTTGGCATCCCACCAGCAGTGGATGAATCTTCCCCTTTCTCCATATCCTCTCCAGCATAAATTGTTATCAGTAGTTTTGAATTTAGCCATTCTGACAGGAGTTTGATGGAATCTCAGTTGATTTCATTTTCATTTCCCTGATTGCTATGGATGTTGAGCACCTTCTCAAGTGTCTCTCAACCATTTTAGACTAATTTATTTAGAATTTTTATTTAGTTCTGTACCCCCCTTTTAATTGGATCCTTTGGTGTTTTGGAGACCTTCTTGTGTTCTTTGTAAATTTTGGAGATCAGCTCTCTGTCTGATGTGGGGTTGATGAATATGTTTTCCCATTCTGTGAACTGCATTTTTGTCTTGTTGACTCTGTCCATTTGGTCTTAAGTTTTGTGCATGGCGATAGACATGGATCTATCCACATTCTTCTACATGCCAGCATCCAGTTATGCCTGCACCATTTGTTAAAGATGCTTTGTTTTTTCCATTGTATATTTTTAGCTTCTTTGTTGAAGATCACCTGTTCATACATGTGTGGGTTAATATCAGGGTGTTCAATTCAATTCCATTGGTCTACCTGTCTATTTTTGTGCCAATACTAAACTGTTTTCAGGACTATAGCTCTATAATAGAGCTTGAGGTCGCGCATGGTGATGTGTCTAGATATTGCTTTGTTGAGTAAGGTTGTTTTGGCTATCCTGGGTCTTTTGTTTTTCCATACAAAATTGATTATTGTTCTTTCAAGGTCTGTGAAGAATTTTGCTGGTATTTTAATGGGGATTGCATTGAATCTGTAGATTGCTTTTGGCAGGATTTCCATTTTTACTATATTGATCCTACCTATCCAAGAGCATGGGAAATCTTTCCATTTTCTGAGGGCTTCTTTAATTTCTTTCTTTAAAAATTCAAAGTTCTTGTGATACAGGTCTTTCACTTGTTTGGTTAGCATTATCCCCAAGTTATTTTATATTGTTTGTGGCAATTGTAAAGGGTGATGTTTCTCCGATTTCTTTCTCAGCCCTTTTATCATCTGCATATAGTAGGGCTACTGATTTTCTTGAGTTTGATATTGTAGCCTGCCACTTTGCTGAAGGTGTTAATTACCTGTAAGAGTTCGCTGGTAGAGTTATTTGGGTCATTTATGTAAACTATCATATCATCTGCAAATAGTGAAAGTTTGACAGCTTCCTTTCCAATTTGTATCCCCTTGATCTCCTTTTGTTGTCATATGGCTCTGGCTAGAACTTCAAGTACAATATTGAAAACGTATGGAGAGAGTGGACAGCCTTGTTTTGTTCCTCATTTTAGTGGAATTGCATTAA